CGAGGTTGCGTTGAAGATTATGAGTATGCTTTCGAAACGACAGCTGGAGGAATTGATAGACAGTGCCAAAAGTACACCCTTAAGATCCGTGCAAATCATCTTAAGATCTTCTTGCCTAAGAGCAAAGGTTTTATCCATGGCGTGCCCTTTCTTTGTCATTTTCTTTTTCTGTCATGTGAGATTCCCACTTTGTGTGGCTGACGTTGTCAAGACTCAAAACTCACGCACTATTAATATTGATCTTTTTTGGCTAATATATGGAAGAGAGAAGAAAGGCAAAATCAAATGTGGAAAAGTACATCATCTTAAACAGGGAATAAAGAAAAAAATGGCACGAAGCAAAAGAAACATGGATAAATGATCAGTGTCAACACATTATAGAGAAGAACCAAACCAAAGATAACAAATACATGCATTCCAAAATCAAAGAAGTAATTCAGATAAAAGGATACTCAGATACATGATGCATATTTAAGATCGAAAGGAGGAGATATTTTAATGGTCCAACTATACCTTCTATACGTGTATTTCCTACTTTGGCATTAAAGTCCCCCATGACTATCTTTACATCTTGTGATTTTAACTGTTTCATTGCCTTATCAAGGTCTTTATAAAAAGTCTAAATTTCCTCGTTGTCGTGCTCTGATGTTGGTGCAGTGCATATATTTGGATGACACCTATGTCAAAAGGTTCCCCCTCTAATTTAGCCACGATGACTCTACCTGACACTCCCCAAAAACCTTTGATGCTCTTTGCTGTTGCTTCGTCAAATAAAATTCCGACTCCTCTTTCATGGGTTTTTCCTCCTGAGTATACAATTGTTTTGGATCCTTTTTTAATCAAGCCTCCCCCCTCCCATCTAACTTCTGAAAGGCCTAACATAATTTTTTATCTTCATCCTATCCATTTCCTGCTCAACATTGTCTAATTTGCCTTTTCGGTGCATTGTTCTCACATTCCATACGGCTATGTTAAGTTGTTTAAGTCTAGTTTTGCAACTAGTAGCTGGATGACGATCGGGCGCCACCTGCTGCCCGTGGCGGTCCCTACCGAGCGGTGAGATCAGAGCTGGATCATGAGCCCCCTTAACGCTGTTATCTGAGAAATGAAAGTTCTTTTTCTTTAACATTATTTTTCTTGGGAGATTAAGGTTCCGTGAGATCCTGATCAGTTTCAAGGTTCCAATCTAAGTATCCGATTTCTATTTTTTCATCACTTAAAAATAGGACTGGAACAAAACAAACAAATAAAAAAGCGACATGAGAAAATGAAAACTCAGAGAGTGGAAACCACTGGTCTTACTTATTTATTTCACACAAGAGAAATCACTTGAAGGGTTGACACATTGGTAAAAGACAACAACCGCGTACATAGCCATTCCCCTTGAAGAAAAATAGAAAAGTTTAAAAAAAAAGAAAATGAAACAAATCAAAATCACAAAACACACCAACAAAAACCCAACCAAAACCAAAACCACAACCAGTCAATAAAACAAACAAAAATTAAAGGAAAAAAAATCAGCGTTTCCTTATTCGATACCACAGAGTACAGCCACTTCATTGGCGTGTTCCTTTGTCCACTTGTATACTTTGTACTGAGTGGGATCCCCCTCTGGTATCTACAGAAATACGGCTAGCCTCAAAACTATCTAATATATGAATCAAATTCGAACGTTAAAAAATAAAAAACCCTAAAGAAACCCAAACCCACAAACCCTAAAAAAACACAACAAACAAACAAACAAACAAACAAACAAACAAACAAACAAACACATGAACAAACAAAACCACGAAAATAAAGGGGAAAAAAAACCTTTAAAAAACTCGTTAGTGTACCCTACGGCATTGATTTTAAAAATGTACATTGTTGTATATTGTGCCGTAAAATCCTGACAAAAACAAACAAACAAATGAACAAATAACCCAACAAACATTAAAAGAAAAAACACACATTGAGAACCTGGTTATTGTGCTCTGGGGTGTTACTAGAATAAAGTGTACACTGTTGTATGTGCCGTAAAATCCTGACAAAAACAGACGAACAAATAAGCGAACAAAACCAACAAAAATAAATGATTAAAAAAAGAATAAAAACCTGGTTATTGTGCTCTGGGGTATTACTAAAAAAAAGTGCACACTGTTGTATGTGCCGTAAAATCGTGTCAAAAACAAATACACAGTGAGAACATGTGACAGCGCCCAGTCCGGTATAGGCCAACACTCATGGGAAATATTTGAGAGACAGCGTGATGATACCAGGCACTCGTCAAAATAATGAAAATGAGGAAACTGGCTTTTTCTGCATGTTTGGGAGATTTTTTTGAATTTTTGTTTTTTGGCTCAACACCTTGTAAGTCTATAAAAGAACACATTTCTGTATGGATTTTGTAGAAAAACTTACTTTGAAGGCACAGAAAAAGTAAATTTTCAGTTTCCACGGATTCTCAAGCAAAGGTAATAACTAAACTTTGGCGGCTATTTTCTTGCAAAGTTTACCTCTGAAACCAGATGACCCCTACCTCCTTCAATTGCCAATATCCCGACTTGCATCCAAGATAAATGGATATTCTTTTCCTCGAAAGCAAGGCAAATGGACAGGCTTTGAGATGCTACCAATAACCCCATATGCTTTCTATTTACTGGTCTAACATCTAGGAGAGAGGGAGAGAGAGAGGGGGGAGGGGTGGGAGAGTGAGAGAGAGAGAGGGGGAGAGAGAGAGAATGAGAGAGAGAGAGAGAGAAAGAAAGAGATAGAGAAATATAGAGAGACTCAGAGAACATGTGGAAATATTAATTACAGCTACAGGTGTCGACGGTTGAGGGGGGAAAGATTGTTTGAATTCCTTGATCTCAGAGACGATGGATTTCTATTTAGCTGGTCAAACATCTTGGAGAGAGAGAGAGGGAGAGAGAGAGAAGGAGAGAGAGAGGGAGGGATAGAGAGAGAGAGAGGGGGGAGAGGGAGAGAGAGGGGGTGAGGGGAGAGGGAGAGAGAGGGAGAGCGAGAGAGAGAGGGGG